CTTCCACTTGCTCTATACCTTCTGTAATGTTTTAGTGTAGCTCACTATGGCAGACAGTACCAGGGCATTCTTTTTAGGTGTACAAACCACTTCATTTGTTGTTCTTTGATGACCTGTAAGACTGGCTTTATTCCTAGCATTCGTCTGATTTCATGATTTCATATTCTGTTTTTCCTTGAAACTCCTGCAGCTCTTCAAAGGCATTTCATCTCTGTTGTCACAATGTTATGTTCACTGGAGGATATAAATGTCCATGTTTGGCAGCATAGTGTTGGTTAAAAAATAGTTCTGATAAGATTCACTTTAGTACTACAGGGTATTGCATGGTCAATTCTTAAAAATCCAACTGAACAGGACTTTGCACCTTAAGTCACAGGACTAACAACAAGCACAGTTATTATCATCATGTAGCAGGTTTTTTGCAGAACGTCGCTCTCATCACAGTCTGCCTGAAAGAAACGCAGTCTCTCGCCAGCTCTCTCACCTCATGTACTTTCATTTTAAAGGAGTCACTTATATCATGTGCCCACCTTCGTGTTGGTCGGTCTCTGCCCAAACTTTCTAGTACCATGTTTTCTTCTTTTATTTTTTCCAATCCCTCGTGGCACTTGATAGGACCAGAATATTTAAGCTTCCGAGACAAGATGCTGTTTATTAGCCAATCTTCCATGATGTTCACATCTTTCAAGATATTAGTATTTCTTCTCTTCTTTGTCCATCATATTCTGAAGAATCTTTCTACAGCATTTCAACTCAAAAATCCCTATTTTCTTTTTTAAGGACTGGTATATAGTCCACGACTCACATCTGTATGTTGCTACAGGGAAGATGCATGCTCTCAAAATTTTAATTTTGATTTCCTAGCTAGTGCTTAGCCACAGACTATTAATGCTTTTAAAAGCAAAGTAACTACAGCTATATTGCTGCTTCCTTTCGGTGTTTACTTCATATTGTTTTTAATTTGTTAGTCATTAGTCAAAGTTCCAGCCTCACTGCAGACGGGTGTAGTCCTATATAACTGTTCCATTCCTGTGCCAGTGGAATGACTTCCTGTTCCATTTGAAAAGTTATGAAACACTTGTCAGTTACAGCAAGCTCTTGAAGCCTGCACATGCAAAGTAAAAATGTATAAGGTAGTTGTCACATGTGCTGACACTAACAGCCCCACACCAGAATTGCAGCTCACTGTCAGCATAAGTGTACACTCATACTTTCATTTAGCAACTACAGACTATCTCAGAATGCCCGTCAACATCTGCTAAAGTCAAAGTGTCTGTCTCGCAACACCAAGATCAAAATGTATAAAACGTTGATAAGACCAGTCGTTTTATGAAACTTGGAGTACAGCTAAAAGAGATGAAGCCTTATTACAGGTTTTCGAAAACAGAGTCTTATGATGAATCTTTGGACCCATCAAAGATGCAAACAGCGGTAAATGGAGAGTGAGAAGAAACAATGAAATTCATAATCTGTTCAAATCACGACTGATCACCGGCATCATGAGAGCTAATAGACTGAAAAGATTGGGGTATATTGAAAGAAGTCAGATAACAGAGAAGTAAAAACTGTAAATACATGAGAGGAGATGAATGGTCGTAGACCACGAGGGAGACCAAGAAAACGATCGAGAGATAATATCCAGACAGACCTGCAAACACTTGGTGTCACCAACTGGAAAGAGAAGGCCAACCAGAGAGATTAATTGAGGCGGCTGTTATCTGCAGCAATGAACCTCAAGGGCTTGGAGTGCTGTAGAAGAAGAAGAGGAAGACTAATCTCAGAATAGATCTGTTATTGTGTGCAATCATAAATCAGTTAGGTGGCGTCCGTGGCTAAGGGGTTGCGAGTCCGACTCGTAATCCAACATACCGCAATCGAAACCCACTGCGGGCTGCGTAGATTTTTATCATGGTATGGTACGTTGTAGGTCTACCCAGCCTCAAATGGGTACCGGGATAGCTGTCCTGGGAAAGTAAAGACAGCCAGCGTAATGCTGACCACATTACCCACCCAGTGCCAATTGGTCTGTAAAAATATGGGTGCTCTTCCCATATGCCTGATGCGCCTAAAGGCGTGAAAAGGGATCTTTACTTTACTTAACTTATAAATCAGTTACCTATTTCAACACTAATATATTATATAAAGAAGAATTACATTGTGCAATAGTAATGTATTTATGAACGACCTGCCCATTTGAAGTAACAAAGGAGTATATTTTTGAAACAAACTCTCCCCTTTAGTATAGCATTATGAAAGATTGGCTTTCGGTGACTAGAAGAGCCACTGTTTGGAAGCAAATCAAACAGAAGGAAATCCTTTATTATTGTATAATTGATTCATTTGACTATTCATTATTATATAACATAAATTTTATACATTTGAATACATTTTATTTTTTTTTTTAATTTTTTCAGGTGCACGTTCTTCATATTCCAGTTCTGTTCACCACTTGTTTATCTACTTGGTGTTTGCCATGAGTATAATGATGATGCTTCACTAGTATCATGCCAGGATTTTCACATATTGCTGTTAAATTTTTTTGTCACAAACATCATATAACTGTGCCATTACTGTACATTGTTTATACAATAATGGTGTCACAACGCCATTGATGTTATCACACCTATGCTTGTTTCTTACTGTTTGTTCATAATCTGGACTATTCTGTGATGAGTGAATATATATATATTGACTATATTGTGATCATTATTGTGTACTCTTATATAAATGCAAGTAAGTCTATTCATTTTAATGGGCAAAAGATTAGTGTATGTAACTGAAATGGCTGTGTTTGTGTTTGCTTCTTCTTCTTCTTATCCTTCTTTTTAACTTTCAGCAGCTATAAACTCTAATGGAAAGTTTTGGTTGTTCGTCCACTTCTGCACTTTAGTTTTGTTCCAGAACTTTAGTTTTATGTGCACAATCATTTTACAGATCTGGTTTGTTTTTGTTTTTGTTTTTTTTGCGTGCAAACTGTTGGTTCCTCACTTTGACTTTTATGACATACATATTAGGGATCAGTGATTTTATTGGGTTTTTTCCCTCCTGCAACCCACAAATGGATTTTTCTTTCCTAAATGATGGTTTATACAACTTAACAACCTTTAAGTATATTTTATCAACCCGCCAACATAGACAGCAGGTTACTTTCTGACCACTGAGTGCCCCACCTGCTTCATACAGTTAAACAGTAAATTTATAACTAATTTTCTACAATTTAATAGAATTTCCTGTTGGTTTTGTATTTGAATAATGGCTTTTTGAGTCTGTGTATCTTTTTAGGCTACAATCCCAGAGAGGAAAATTATTTCTGACAAATTTTTTCAATTCCTCATTTCTTTTGCCCAAATTTTGCTCTGTGATGCTAGGCATCGCAGGTAAACAGATGATCAGTCTTCAAGCTAGGGCATGCTCAGTTTCCCAGTGTGCTGTAATGTTGTGACGCCTCAAGGTATTAGTGATTCCTTTAGTCCAATTTATTCTTGATCAACCACTACGTCTTGGTGTTCTACTTTCTGACATCATTAGATTTATTCTCATTAAATTACCAAACGATTTCATTCTTGTTTTGTTTTTTTCAATGAAATTAATTATTATAGATGTTCCAATTTTTCTTGTAACTTCTTCATTTCTCATATGATCTCTTTCAGTTTTGTTCATTTATTTGTATGGACCCTCTCTGTAACTTTCAGGTCTTCTATCAAAATGTTTCTATCTTGCTACATTTCTGTAAACTCTGTATTACTTTCTTTACATTAAAATGGAGGGGTGGGGGGGGGGGGTGCATCACATGAAATTATTGTAAAAACACATAATGGGCAAACATAAAAAACATGAAGCACTGAAATAAATTGCAAAAAAAAGAATAGTATTTGATTTAAATATTTGAGAAATATCTGTTAATGGCCGTTTAGTTAACCATATGTGTTGATTCCTCCTCACCAAAAAAATTGGTTGACACATTTCATTCTAGGGACAGCTTTTATCAAGTTTGCTCTATAGTCAGTTGCAGTTTCCTGCTGACCAGATTTTGTCTTCCCAAGTGGGGCGCCGCGATCAAAACATTGTGAAGGCAGCTTGGTTGAGGCTGCCAAATCTATCAGTCATTATTCTGCCTCGACAAAGCACAACCACAATACATGCTGCTCCCAAGAAAAACACATAGAATTCACAACAAGCAGTAAAAAAACATCGCTGCTATTTACCATTTTGAAAATGGAACGGCCCATATCTGTTTAGAAAATCAACATATCTTTTGCTTCATATAACATCATCATCATGTAGCAGGTCCTTTGCAGAACGTCACTCTCATCACAGTCTGCCTGAAAGAAACTCGGTCTCTCGCCAGTACTCCTGCCTCATGCACTTTCACATTCAAGGAGTCACCTATATCCTGTGCCCATCTTCGTGTCCGTCAGCCCCTGCCCCTCCTTCCTGGTACCATGCCTTCTGCTATAATTTTTTCCAATCCGTCGTGGCGCTTGATATGAATAAAATATTTCAGCTTTCAAAAAAGGATACTGTTTATTAGCCAATCTTCCTTGATGTTCAGATCTTTTAAGATGTCAATATTTCTCATCTTCTTTGTCCAAGATATTCTGAGAATCTTTCTTTAACATTTCAGCTCAAAAGCCCCTATTCTTTTTCTCAAGGACTGAGAGATAGTCCATGACTCACATCCGTATGTAGCCACAGGGAAGATGCATGCTCTCAAAATTCTAATTTTGATCTCCTTGCTGGTGTTTAACCATAGACTTTTAAGGCTGTTCAATCCTTGCATTGCTATGGCCATCCTCCTTTTAATTTCTGTTGAACAGTCTCCATTGTTGTTTATTATAGAGCCTAGATATTCAGAGTTTGTGACATTTTCAATTTCTTCATAATTTATTGTTATTTTTGGGTGACAGCCCCTTTTATCTGGGGACATTATTTTCGTTTTCTTTAAATTCAAGAACAGATTTTGATCTTCACTGTGCTTTTGGACAGACAATATTAAATTTTCTATTCCTTTTACGCTGAATGAAAGGAGGACTGTGTCATCTGCGTAGCTGAGTTCCGGAATAGGGTTGCCACCAATTTTGAGCGGATCATAACTGTCACAAGTCTGGTCATTTTTGACATTTGTCATTATATTTTCTGCGTATATATTGAATAGGTATAGTAAGAGAATGCATTTTTCAAAAATTATTCTTAGATTAATGATGTGATCCCTAGTTCCTCTACCCTGTCTGAAACCTGCTTATGCTTCATCTAGCTCATATTGTAATTCCCTTTCAATCTTTTTCATGATAATTCGTAAGAGGATTTTGCTAGCATGACTTAATAATGCGATGGTACAGTAGTTGGAGCATAGTTTTGGATTTACTTTCTTTGAGAGAGGGATATAGACTGTTCTTTTCCACGCTTTAGGCCGAATGCCACTGTTCCAGATCTTCGTGCACAGTGCATGGTAGATTCGGACACTGGCCTCTCCTCCTGCTTGAATTAGTTCTGCTGGTATTTTTCGCAACCTTGTGACTTTCCTTTCTTTAGGCTGTGTATTGCCGATCGTACCTCATCCAGTAAATGCTCTGGTTCTTTTTCATAACTTTCACAAGTCGTTTTTGAATTACCTGTCACATCCTCATACATTTCTCTACAGTATTCTTTCCATCTTTCTAATATGTCTTTGGTTTCCATTAATGTGTTACCGTTTTTATCACTTATTACATGTAAAGAAGGCCTGAATTCGCATTTCAATGTTTTAATTTCTTTAAACATGTCTCTGTTTCTTCCTTGCATCTGGAGTTGTTCAATTCTATTACAGGTATTTATAATCTACTGTTTTTTATCTCCTCTGATAGCTCTTCTGATTTCTTTCGTGTGGTTCCTATATGCATGGCTATTTTTTTTTCTGTCCCTACTTGCTTTAAATTTCTTCTTTCTTCTATCAGCTTGAAAGTTTTGTCTGTGCTTCATATATAGGGGCGTGAAATCGTTAAATGAGAAAGTAATGATAATAAAAGTAAGTTGTAAGGAATATGAGTCATTCAATAATTATCTTGTGCTGCTACTTTCAGAAAGATACTTTTTAATTGATTGTATGGTGTGAGAACTATAGTTCTATTGATTGTGCACTTCACTCACTTTGCCATATGTTATGAAAAATAATCCTTTATTTTTCTAAATTATAAGAGGGGGTCATAAAAGTAGGTCATAATGTTATAACTATGGCAGTATTTCAGAAACAGAAAATATACACATGACCACAATATTTAACTCTCAGTCCTAGGGGGTTTAGCATTGTAGGCCCAAGAGGTAGTAAATAGAGACTTAAAATTGGCGCATCTTGCGTTCACTGGGCTTCTAGGAAGGAACCTATGAACGTATGATTCATTCCGTGGGAATGAAAGAGTTTAAGAACATGTTTAGGATGAGGGAAACTCTGTTCTAAATATGCTATGTTGAAGAATAGTTTTTTATTAAGAGACTCGAATATTGCAACATTGCTATACATGGCATGACAAGACAATTGATGTTTTTTTTTTTTTTTTTTGTAAAAACTTTTACATTTAGAGTATCGGTAGTTTGTTTTCAGTGAAATGCTCTGTGCCTTATCTCAGAAAATTGTATGGTATAGGTTCTGTATGTGGGGATGTGTCTCTGTGGTGTGAGGCAGAGTCCGTGTGTTTGGAAGAGTCAAAAGTGCTAACACAGGAACAACTGAAGAGAAACCAAGCTTCAGAAAGTGTTTGTGCTTACTCTAATGAATGCACTATTCCTTGAAAGGTGTGCAGTTTGTATGTTTTCTCTAGCATACACAGGATTGATGTGGATTCCAATACTGAAACCAGGCACCTCAGAATCTAAAGGCTCAGGCTCCTCCTTTCAGTAATTTTGAAGAAAGCTGAGAGCCTCTCCCCCCTCGCCCCCCCCCCCCCTCGCCCCTTTTTTTTTCTCCACTTTTCCCCCCAGAAAATTTGTGTTAGGGGTGTTGCCATGTATAAACATTCTCTTTTCAAGCATTTGTTTGTGTATTTCACATTATTTCAGTATATTGTTAGTTATTTGCCATTAAGCACATAAAGCATAATTATTATTATTAAAATGCACCGAAACAAAACTTAAATCCCTTTAGGCCGCCTCCTCAGTGTTATTTTTTTTTTTTTTGTGGTGACGCCACTCACAGACACTGATCAGTCAGTCACATGATTTCTCCACAATGAAGCATAGATTTGCCTGTGGCTGTCCAACATGTTCTCAGATATTGTGAAATGTGTGGATTTAATCAATGCTAGTTCATTTGTTTAAGGATAGATTGATTATCTTTCTGGCTGTCTTTCCCTTCACCATCACAGACCAAACCAGCTCATTGTGTTATCTCACATCTGCTGTTTCACTCTGATTTGATTTCACAGCCTTGACAGTTTTACAGTATAAAATAAAGTAAGGGACTCCTGAAGTGCATTGACCTATATTTTCTATAGAACAGTGAACACATGTGAGGTGCTGTAGCCAAGT